GACTTGGGGGGCCACACTGCCTGTGGGTGGAGATCAGTGGGGGCCCCAATGCCTAGAAGCATTTGTATTTATTAGGTACAAGCGGGGGCAGGGTTGTGCGTGACGTTATTATCTATAGGCTTAGTAATAGGGCATACATAATTATGTGAGTTACAAGCAAGGGGGCCACCCCATTATGTTACCTGGGCAGAGAGGTGGGCCATATGCAGTAGGGGGCTGTGCTGTACGCAGTAGTAAAGGGTTGTGTACAGAAAAGGGTCCACCCTCATTAGGTCACCAAGGCAAGGAGGTGGGCTGTGTGCAACAGGTGTCGTGTGCAACACTTCTTATCTGAGGGCTGGATACTTCAAAGGATTTTTTTAATAGAAGGATACTGTAAGCCAATGCAGTGGGAACTAACAAACTTGTGCTCTTCTCTTAAGATATTTATGGGAGGATGATTTGAGCTAGCACAGAAGTGAGAAAAGACTGACAGGGTGTACAGCCGCTGTGACTCATTACACCAGAGAGTTTCTTCTCCCTTGGTTATTTCCAGGATCTCAGGCCTGAGGCCTGCTTTCCACAAGAATTGGATGCAAGGTACTACAACTTCTTTATTAGGAGAGGCTTTTGCTCCAAGCCTGACATACAGTGCATGTCCCTTTAGGCAGGGACACCTCTGCCTGGGTCTTTTGTTCTTGTTCTGGTTTGGCTATGTTTCCATGTACTGCCTCTGTTCTGTGACTGCTTAGGCAGTCCTTCTACTACAAACTACTATATGGTTATATGGAAGGATTCTATAAATTAGCACTAAATGTGTCAGTACAGCTCCTACTACAATACCTCTATGATTATATGGAAAGATTATATAGAACTAAGTATGCTAGATATAAGTATTAAGTATGATTATATAAGCTAGATATATGTAAGCAGTAAGTTATACTTCAGGCACTAATTCTATAAACTAATATATGATTATATATAAAGGATTATATAAAGGAAATAGCTGAGTAATAACACTATAAAATATTCTTCAGGCACTAATTGTGCCTGGGGTCTGGACAGTTCTCCTTCCTGGGTGCCCATGGTGGATGTTACCCACAGTGAAGTACCTAAAAGAGTACATGGCTTGGCTGGGCACAGTGAGTCACACCTATGATCCCAGAACTTTGGGAGGCAGAGGAGGGTGGATCACCTGAGATCAGGAGTTTGAGACCAGCTTGGTAAAACCCTATCTCTACCAAAAATACAAAAATTAGGGCTGGGCATAGTGGCTCATGCCTGTAATTCCAGCACTTTGGGTGGCCAAGGTGGTCAAGAGATTGAGACTGTCCTGGCCAACATGGTGAAACCCCATCGCTACTAAAAATACAAAATTTTTGTCTTAAAAATTTTTGTATTTTTAGTAGCGATGGGGTTTCACCATGGGTGTGGTGGCACGCGCCTACAATCCCAGCTACTCTGGAGGCTGAAACAGCAGAATCACTTGAGACCATGAGTTGGAGGTTGCAGTGAGATTGTGCTGAGGAAGGAGACCCCCTTCTCTGAGCTTGGAGAAAAGGAGGAAGTAAAAGTTAAAGGTCGGCCACATGAGGTCAGTGGAAGAACTGGTTGGCAGCGCTGGCCACTACTCCTAACCACAATTCTATCTATAGATCATGGATGTGGTATGGAGGAATTTTCCCTGGAAGGCATTGTTCTTGCTCAACTGCTCAGACCCCTACCTAGTCACGTGCCCCACGCTTCCCTAATTGATCATGACCCTCTCACATGTGCACCTCTTAGATTGTAAGCTTTTAAAAGGTCCAGGATTTTCTTTGTCAGGGAGCTCATTTATCAAGGCTTGAGCCAGCCACAGCTCCCACCCGAATAAAACTGCCACTTCCTTCCCAGTTCGGTGTTGGAGAGGTTTGTTTGCAGCTGCTCCTGCTTCAGCGCCACTGGACTCCAGCCTGACAAAGCAAGACTCCATCTCAAAAAAACAAAAACAAACAAAAATTAGCTGGGCGTGGTGGCAGACACCCGCAGTCCGAGCTACTTGGGAGGCTGAGGCAGGAGAATCACTTGCACCTGGGAGGTGGAGGTTGCAGTAAGCTGAGATTGTGACACTGTACTCCAGCCTCGGTGACAAAGTGAGACTCCGTCTCAAAAGCAAACAAACAAAGTATATGGTTCATGTGAACAGTCAATAAAGGTTGTTACTCTTACTCCTGAGCATTTCTATGAGGCAGGTTGTATTGCTCCCATATTATATATAAATAAGCCAAAGAACAGAGACATTGGGACATGGAATTGGTAAGTGATAGAGCCAAGATATTAATATATCTGCTAATATATTTTCAGATTTGACATCATATGACTTATGAGTTTGGCCAGCATTAAAAGCTTTGTGCTGAGTGGTAAAATTGTAATGTTTAACAACCAGCTTGCGCCTATAATCCCAGCATTTTGGGAGGCCGAGGCGGGTGGATCACGAGGTCAAGAGATAGAGACCATCCTGGTCAACAAGGTGAAACCCTGTCTCTACTAAAAATACAAAAATTAGTTGGGCATGGTGGTGCGGGCCTGTAGTTCCAGCTACTCGGGAGGCTGAGGCAGGAGAATTGCTTGAACTCAGAAGGCGGAGGTTGTGGTGAGCCGAGATTGTGCCATTGCACTCCAGCCTGGGTAACAACAGTGAAACTCCATCTCAAAAAAAAAACCAAAACAACAACAACAACAAAAAAAACCAACCAGCTTGGGGGAAGTGGGAGCAGGTATGTACAGAGCTCGCTTCACAGCTGCATCATGCTCTGTTTTCCAATTGTTAATGATTTTGAACAAGAGGCCCACTATTTATTTATTTATTTTTGAAATAGGATCTTGCTCTATTGCCCAGGCTGGAGTGCAGTGACACAATCACAACTCACTGCAGCCTTGACTTCCCAGGCTCAGGTGATTCTTCTGCCTCAGCCTCCCAAATAGCTGGGACCACAGGTGCACACTGCCATACCTGGCTAATTCTTGTATTTTCACCATATTGTCTAGGCTGGTCTTGAACACCTGGCTCAAGTGATCCACCCACCTTGGCCTCCCAAAGTGTTGGGATTACAGGCATGAGTCACAGTGCAGATCTCACTATGTTGCATAGTCTGGTCTCTAACCTGAATTCAAGAGAGTTTCCCACCTCAGCCTCCTGAGTAGCTGGGACTACAGGTCACACACCCAGTTCCATATCTTTAGTTTGCGTTGGGCAAAAGTCTCCACCAAAAATACAAAATTAGCTGGGTGTGGCGGCACGCACCTGTAGTCCCAGCTACTCGGGAGGCTGAGGCAGGAGAATTGCTTGAACCCAGCAGGTGGAGGCTGCAGTGAGCAGAGATTGCACCACTGCACTCCAGCCTGGCAACAGAGTGAGACTCTGTCTCAAAAGAAAAAAATAGAAGAGATATGTAAGAACTTCACTAGTTTGTCAGGTGCTATTCTCTGTTTCTTTTTCTCCCTCTCCCTCCCCTCTCCCCTTCCCCCGCCATGGAGTCTCACTCTATTGCCCAGGCTGGAGTGTAGTGGTGTGATCTTGGCTCACTGCAGCCTCTGCCTTCCGGGTTCAAGCCTCCCAAGTAGCTACGATTACAGGAATGCGTCACCATGCCTGGCTAATTTTTTTTTTTTTTTTTGAGACAGAGTCTTGCTCTGTTGCCCAGGCTGGAGTCCATTGGCACGTTCTCGGCTCACTGTAACCTCCATCTCCCAGGTTCAAGCAATTCTTCTGCCTTAGCCTCCCGAGTAGCTGGGACTACAGGTGCCTGCCACCATCCCTGGCTAATTTTTGTATTTTTAGTAGAGACAGGGTTTCACCACGTTGGCCAGGCTGATCTCGAATTTCTGACCTCAAGTGATCCTGCCTGCCTCACCCTCCCAAAGTGCTGGGATTACAGGTGTGAGCCCCCGTGCCCCGCCAGCACTTTTAAGTTTAACCAGTATTAGTAACATTTTCTCCACCACTTTAAGTCTAGACGACTTAGCAGTTATCAAGCATTTGCTGATTTGAGTGGTGTGAATTCTCCCACCATGGGCAGATTTTAAGTGGCTGAAGGATGTCACTGAATGAATAGCTCAGAAGAAGTGAGCAGTGGGACATCATGGAGTTTTTCCAGGGTGCATATAGACATCAGAGTATCTGTACACAGCAGGCGCTCAATAAATGCATGAATAATTTATTAGCATGAATAAATTAATGAATCCTACTTCGTGAATGAAAGTGCCGGGTAAGTCCTAAAGCGGCACGCCTTTGAGTTTCTTTGTTTTTGAGATGCAGTTTTTTGAGGCGTAATCCGCCCGGGCCCAGGAGCTCTGTCGTCCAGGCTGGAGTGCAGGCAGAGGTGCGATCATGGCTCACTGCAACCTCCGCCTCCGGATTTCAAGCGATTCCTCTGCCTCAGCCTCCCGAGTAGCTGGGATCACAGGCCTACGCCACCAAGCCCGGCTACTTTTTTTATTTTAGTAGAGACGGGTTTCACGGTGTTAGCTAGAATGGTCACGATCTCCCAACTTCGTGATCCACCCACCTCGGCCTCCCAAAGTGCTGGAATTACAGGCGTGAGCCACCGCGTCCTCCCCGAGTTGTGCTTATGATGCTAAGAGAGGCAGCTTCCAGTGAGTCTGAAAGAAGCTGCGGGGCTCCGTCGTGCAGGCAGGAAAAGGGCTGGACCCTGGGGTCACCACCCCGCCTCGCCTCCGCCCCCACCCCCCACCCCGCGTCGCCTCCGCCCCTATCCCCCACCCCCCCCCCACCCCGCGCTCTGCTGCTCGCCCCTCATCTGACCTCGCCCCACCCCTGGTCTGGCTCCTCCCCTCCTCGAACCCTGCCCCGCCCCTCCCCGCCCTTCTCCCCGCCTACGACCCGGTCCCTCCCCTCTTTGACCGAGCCCCTCCTCTGACTCGTCTCCAACCCCGCCCCGGTTTTGGCTCTGCCCCGCCCCTCCCCGCCCTTCTACCCGCGTTTGACCCGGCCCCGCCCCGCCCTGCCTCTTTCCCCGCCCCCACTGCCCTTCTCCCGCCTCTGGCTCGGCCCCGTCCCCTCCCACCCACCAGCCCACCCTCCGGCCCGGCTCGCGCTACCGGCATCTGTTTCCGGGCGGGCTTCCAGAGGCCGGCGCACAAGATGGCGGCCTTGGCGGCATGAGGAAGGCGGCCGCGGCTCGGCCGTGGGCTCTAGCGCGGGGCTGGAGGCCGGAGTCAGGCTTCGCCCCGGTGACGGGTAGTAGGGGCGTCGACGCCAGGTCTCGTGGGGTGCAACACCTGCTTGCTGCTGCCTCCGGACCCTGCTGCCACACCAGTCCTGCCTCCGGACGGAACCGAAGGAAGGTCAGGCCCAGCTGACCCGCCCCGTCCGTCCTTCCTCCGGGCGGTCACTGTGCGTGGCTCACTTAGAGTTTACTTCAACCACGTGGAGCTCCCATGGCGGCTTCTCAGGTCCTGGGGGAGAAGATTAACATCCTGTCGGGCGAGACTGTCAAGGCTGGGGACAGGGACCCGCTGGGGAACGACTGTCCCGAGCAAGATAGGCTCCCCCAGCGCTCCTGGAGGCAGAAGTGCGCCTCTTACGTGCTGGCCTTGAGGCCCTGGAGCTTCAGTGCCTCACTCACACCGGTGGCCCTGGGCAGTGCCCTGGCCTACAGATCCCACGGTGTACTGGATCCCAGGCTCTTGGTGGGTTGTGCCGTGGCTGTCCTGGCTGTGCACGGGGCCGGTAATTTGGTCAACACTTACTATGACTTTTCCAAGGGCATTGACCACAAAAAGAGTGATGACAGGACACTTGTGGATCGAATCTTGGAGCCCCAGGATGTCGTCCGGTTCGGAGTCTTCCTCTACACGTTGGGCTGCTTCTGTGCAGCTTGTCTCTACTACCTGTCCTCTCTGAAACTGGAACACTTGGCCCTCATCTACTTTGGAGGCCTCTCTGGCTCCTTTCTCTACACAGGAGGTAAGACATGGCCTGTCCTGTGTGCTGCAAGCCTTAGTCACATCTACTGGAAACCGCTGCTTTGTAGAGGAGTTACAGGGATGCCAAAGGTGCCTTTTTAAATTAGGCCACCTTACTTAAAGTCTATAATCGTGGGTCATGTGAATGTTTTGAAACAGTGATTTGAGAAGATCCTGGCTTGACTCATCTACGTAGGGCATGACTTAAAAATTTATATGGACATTTATTTTATTTTATTTTATTTTAAGACGGAGTCTTGCTCTTGTAGTCCAGGTTGTAGTGCAATGGCGTGATCTCAGCTCACTGCAACCTCCACCTCCCAGGTTCAAGCAATCCTTCTGCCTGAGCCTCCCGAGTAGCTGGGATTACAGACGAGTGCCGCCATGCTGGGCTAATTTTTTTTTTTTCTTGAGATGGGGTTCAAACTTGTTTGCCAGCTGGAGTGCAATGGCTGGATCTTGATTCACTGCAACCTCTGCCTCCTGGGTTCAAGCAATTCTCCTGCCTCAGCTTCTGGAGTAGCTGGGATTACAGGTGGGTGCCACCATGCCTGGCTAATTTTTTGTATTTTTAGTAGGGATGGGTTTCTCCGTGTTGATCGGGATGGGTTTCTCCATGTTGATCAGGCTGGTCTGGAACTCCTGACCTGAGGTGATCTGCCTGCCTCATCCTCCCAAAGTGCTGGGATTACAGATGTAAGCCACTGCATCTGGCAATTTTTGTATTTTTAGTAGTGTGTTTGTAGTAGAGATGGGGTTTCACTGTTGGCCAGGCTGGTCTTGAATCCCAAAGTGCTGGGATTACACTCGTGCCTGGCCAGGACATATTTTTTTATTTTTGTTTTTTTAGCCAGTCTTGCTCTATCACCCAGGCAAGAGTGAGTGCAGTGGCATGATCTCGGCTCACCACAACCTCTGCCTCCCGGGTTCAAGTGATTCTCCTGCCTCAGCCTCCTGAGTAGCTGGGACTACAGGCATGTGCCACCATGCCTGGCTAAATTTTATATTTTTAGTAGAGACAGGGTTTTACCATGTTGGCCAGGCTGGTCTTGAAGTCTAGACCGCTTGACCCGCTCGTCTCGCCCTCCCACAGTGCTTACACAGGGGATTACAGGTGTGAGCTAATGCGCCCAGCCTATGTGGACATTTTTTGTGTCTCATTTTCTTTTATCACTCATACTTTATAATGCCACAGTTTTAAATATTAGTAGAATTAAATTTGAAGAGTTCAAAATGATAAACCTAATTACTTCTAGCTAGTTTCCTAGATGACTTCTTGCAGGAGGCTGATTAAGGTAGTGATGGGCAGGTGGGTAAGCCCTATTTATTGAGCACCTATTATGTGCCAGGCACTGCTCTATGTGAACACATCAGTCACAGATCTCTGCCCTTGTGAAACTTATATATTGTCATGAGAAGAGACAGAAGGTAAAAATAGAAAATGATAGGATGACCAACATCCTGGTTTGCTCAGGACTAAAGTGACAGGATTAAGTGGGATGTATGACTTCTGGTGCTAAAACCAGGAAAGTTCCTGGTCAGCCAAGTTGAATTGATCACCTTATCACCCTGATTATAGTGTATGAAAGACAGTAAGTGCTATAGGGAAAAAAAGTAGAGCAGGCTGGATGCGGTGGCTCACACCTGTAATCCCAGCACTTTGGGAGGCCAAGGTGGGCAGATCACAAGGTCAGGAGATCAAGACCATCCTGGCTAACATAGTGAAACCTCGTCTCTATTGAAAATATAAAAAGTAGCTGGGCGTGGTGGCACGTGCCTGTAGTCCCAGTTATTATGGAGGTTGAGGCAGAAGAATTGCTTGAACCCAGGAGGTGCAGGTTGCAGTGAGTCAAGATTGTGCCACTGCACTCCAGGGCAACAGAGCTAGACGCCGTCTCAAAAAAAAAAAAAGTAGAGCAAAAAAAGGGGACACAGATGACTATTTTAAGTAGTTTGATCAGGGTAAGCTTCATCAAAAAGGTAACATTTGGCTGAGTGCAGTGGCTCATGCAATCCCAACCCTTTAGGAGGCTGAAGCTGGAGGATCGCTTGAGACCAAGAGTTGAAGACCAGCCTGGGCAACATAGACCCCAATCTCTACAGAATATAAAATAAAGAATATTAGCTGGGCATGGTGGTGCATGCCTATGGTCCCAGCTACTCTGGAAGCTGAGTGGGAGAATTGCTTGAGCCCAGGAGGTCAAGGCTGCAGTGAGCCCTGATCACACCACAGCACTCCAGCCTGTGCGACAGAATGAGACTCTGCCTCAAAAACAAAACAAAATGTAGTATTTGATTTAGATTGAAGGAGGTAAGAGATGAGGGAGTTGGCCAAGCAGATATCTGAGAGAGGAGCATTTCAGGAAAAGGAACAGGAAGTGCCATAGGCCATCAGGCAACAATGTGTCCAAAGAGCTTGCGCAGCAGCAGGGAGTCCAGTGTGTGAATGAAGGACAGGGTAAAGGAGGGTAAAGTAAGAGAAGTATGTTTGGGGAGGGTAGGGAGGCACATGGATTATGTAGACCTCGTAGGTCACTGGTGTTGGCTCTGGAATGGAGGAGCCATTGCAGGACTTTGAGCAAGGGAGTGATGTGATATAACGTAATTTGTTTGTTTTTTGAGATGGATTCTTGCTCCGTTGCCCAGGCTGGAATGCAATGGCACAGTCTCAGCTCACTGTAACCTCCGCCTCTCGGGCTCCAGTGATTCTCCTGCCTCAGCCTCCCACATAGCTGGGATTACAGGAATGCACCACCGTGCCCAACTAATTTTTGTATTTTTAGTAGAGATGGGGTTTCACTATGTTGCCCAGACTGACCTTTGAACCCCTGACCTCAGGCGATCTGCCTGCCTTGGCCTCCCAAAGTGCTGGGGTTACAGGCATGAGCCACTGCGTCCAGCCCCCATGTTTTAAAAGAATCACTCTGGCTAAGGTATTGAGAATGGATCAAGGGGAGTGGGGCAAGGGTAGAGGCAGGAAGAGCAATTAGGAGGCTCTTGAGTAATCCAGGCAAGAAAGGTTTGGTGGCCTTGGATCGAGGGGGTGGTAGTGGCAGAGGAAAGTAGCCAGATTCTAAACATGCTTTGAAGGTAGACAGGGTTTGCCGATGGATTGGATGTGAGTTAAAGAGAAACAGAGGAATTAAGCATAACTCAAGGTTTGTTTAATATTATTATTATTTTTGAGGACACATTCCACATTTTATTTACTTTTTTTTTTTTTAAGACGGGGTTTCACCATGTTGGTCAGGCTGGTCTTGAACTCCTGACCTCAGGTGATCCGCCCACCTTGGCCTCCAAAGTGCTTGGATTACAGGCATGAGCCACCACGCCCGGCCTATTTTATTTACATTTTAAGACTAACTTTGGGCTGGGTGCAGTTCCTCACACCTGTAATCTTAGCACTTTGGGAGGCCAAGGCAGGCGGATGAGTTGAGATCAGGAGTTCTAGACCAGCCTGGCCAACATGGTGAAACCCTATCTCTAATAAAAATACAAGAATTAGCCAGGCGTGGTGGCGTACGCCTGTAGTCCTAGCTACTCAGGAGGCTGAGACAGGAGGGTTGCTTGAGCCTGTGAGGCAGTGGTTGCAGTGAGTTGAGATCATGCCACTGCCCTACAGCCTAGGCAACAGAGTGAGACTCTGTTTCAAAAAAAAAAAAAAGACTAACTTTAATTTCAAATTATATATCCATTTACCTTTTTTTTTTTTTTTTTGGAGATGGAGTCTTGCTCTGTTGCCCAGGCTAGAGTGCAGTGGTACGATCCTGGCTCACTGCAACCTCTGCCTCCCGGGTTCAAGCGATTCTCCTGCCTCAGCCTTCTATGAAGCTGGGATTACAGGCACCTGCCACCATCCCCGGCTAATTTTTGTATTTTTTAGTAGAGATGGGGTTTCACCCTCTTGGCCATGCTGGTCTTGTACTCCAGACCTCATGATCCGCCCACTTCTGCCTCCCAAAGTGCTGGGATTACAAGTGTGAGCCACTGTGCCTGGCCACCTATTTTTTTTTTTTTGAGATGCAGTGTCACACTGCCACCTGGGCTGGTGTTCAGTGGCATGATCTTGGCTCACTGCAACCTCTGCCTCCAGGATTCAAGTGATTGTCCTGCCTCAGCCTCCGGAGTAGCTGAGATTACAGGCGCCCGCCACCACAGCCAGCTAATTTTTTTGTATTTTTAGTAGAGACAGGGTTTCACCATGTTGGCCAGGCTGGTCTCAAACTCATAACTTCAAGTGATCCATCTGCCTTGGCCTCTCAAAGAGCTGGGATTATAGTCATGAACCACCACACCCTGCCAATACCTGCTACTTTTAAATAATTTCAACTGCAGCTCTCTTTCACTTAGCAAGGTGGGTCAAGCTGGCCATTTCTGTTTTCTTTTTCTGTTTGAAATGAGGGTCTCTGTCACTCAGATCTCCGCTACTGCAACTTCCGCCTCCTGGGCTCAAGCTATCCTCCTGCCTCAGTTAGTAGCTAGAACTACAGGTGTGTGCTAACGTACCTGGTTAATTTTTTGTATTTTTTTGTGGGAACAGACTTTCAACATGTTGTCCAGGCTGGTCTTGAACTGCTGGCCTCGAGTAATGTGCCCGTCTCAGCCTTCCAAAGTGCTGGAATTACAGATGGGGGCCAACCCTGTTTTCTTTCTCAAAATTTTTACTCTTTAGAACCACACATGCTTCCACTGCCATCTGACATTTCTCACCACATTTTCATCTTGTAAAACTGTATTCTATTCCAAGTGCTCCAGGTTTATGTTTAAATGACAGTACCTTAACAAGAGAAAAAAAATCAGGTTACATTTTTCCTCCTGTTGCCTGAAAACAGAGTGGGTATACATATATTAAATATATTGTTACAAAAGTCCAGGTCATGTTTCCCAGCTGGAATTCTTTTATTTAATGTGTGGGTATTTTGCATTGTGATATTTGATCAAGACATTAACATGAGTACAAGGTTGTTGCTATTAGACAAGTTTGACATCCACTAAAATTAA